TATTCTAATATGAACATTAATAAAATCGTGTATTTTATATATATTTTTGATGTGATTAACAGTAATAATTCTATTTCAATATGTATCTATATAATCGATATAATTTAAATTAAATTAAATCATTAAACCAATAAATATTTTGCATTTTGATTTTTATTATTNGAAATTATAATTGAAAATAATTAATATTAATATTAGAAAATGATATAATGTTTATGTAGATCAAATATATTGTGTTTACTGTTAGAAAGTAATACATGAGGAGTTTATAAAAGGCAATAGTGAATAATGATAAAAGTATTTCTACAATACCGACGTAGATATGGAGAAAAAGTGACATTTGCAATTCGTTGTTCATTGGCGCTGTTGTGCGTGAGTAACGTTTCTCGCATGCTACTCGGTACAACTTTTCATTTAACAAACATATTAACTAATACAACAGTTTTCTTTTCTTAATTAATAATATTTATTATTAATATTTTTTTAGTCAATTATTTTTTTATTATGAAATATAAAAATTTTGATTAATAATTTGGTGATTCTTTCTAAAAACTTGTTTTCATATTGGCAGGTGTTCCATTGTCATAACGGATGAAATGAATATTTATCTATGGAAAGGTCATTTCAGTTTGCTCGAGAAATTACAAGTATTTTTTATATGGTTTAAGAAAAACTGTTAAATTTTATTAGCGATTAATTTAATATAAATAACGAATGAATACAAATAATATCGAATTTGTAATTATTAAAACTGTATGTCTTGACGAATAAAATTTTAAGTAATATTAGGTAAGTAAAATAATTTTTATAAAAAATTGCTTTATATTTCAGTAAAATATATATAATCAGAGTTATTTATTTTTTTTCTGTTTTTTTTCTTTTATCAATATATTGAGTATTATTTCTTCTTTTTAATTAATTCTTCTTTTTATTTAAATTATTTTAAATAATTTGAGAGTTTTTTTATTGTGTTATGTGATTAAATTTTTATATAATAAGATAATTTTACTATTCTAGTATCATATTTTGCTTTCTTTCTATTATTTTTATAAAATTTTATTTCAATGAACAAAAATGAAATTAGAATCGAAAATGATTTTAGAAATTTTGTAATAAAATAATATATAATTTAAATTTGTTAAATTTTATTTGATATGGAAGTATTATAAAATACCTTATTATAAATATAATCATAAAATAAAATACATAAAATTATTAATTTTTGAACTATCTGTTAAATATAAAACATTCAAATATTTCAAATATAAAACATTTTCTTATGAAATAAATATCAATATAAATAATTTATAAATTTTTATAATTTATTATATTATATTATTATATATTTATTATATATATTTATTAATATATTGTTGTATTTATAATTATTCATTATTTATTTATAAAATTATTACATTAATATGAGAACAATTATTAGAAATTTAATAAATTTTACTGTACATAAATATATGTTCATAAAAAATTTTTCATATCTTTTATAGAAAAACAATGTATAATAGAAGGTAACAACTGAGGAAGATTAAACTATGGCCAACAGAAAAGATAAATCATCTACAGGTTTTGTAAGTATAATATTACATATATATAATATTACATATAGAATTAAAGTTAATATAATTAACATTACAATATAAATAGAAATGCAGAAAAGAAATAGAAAATATGATTTATTTTTAATTCTTGTTTATATTGTTTATTCGGATTTCATCGACTATCATCCATCTGATGATAAAATTTGAAAATTGTCTTTTTTATACGATATCAATTTTTATAAAATTTTCAAAAAAATTAGATAAATTATGACATATATAATGTCTCTGCATATAAATATAAATCATCTTTAATATCAAGAAATAATATAATAACATATTATATAATATATATTGATATAGAAGTAAGTATATTTATAATATATATTGATATAGATAATAACTTTTATAATGGAATCATGCTTGTAAAAATAATCAATTTGACAATATTTAATAATATTCAAACAATCAATGAAAGTAGTAATTTAAAACTATCAAAGTAATGTACTGAATTATTTAAATTATTATCATATAAATATGATATTTTGTTAGTTTCGTAAAATCGTTTTTATAAGAATACAATTAAAAATAAGTATAACATTGTATTGAAATTCTTAATTTAAATTTCAGCAATATATATGATATATATATATATATATATATGTGAACACATATATGTTATATTTTCTGCTATAATTATGAATTTCATATGATAACAGAATAAATATTCAATCGAAATAAATTTTAATTTTAGGTATATTATCGTATAAAATTAATTTGTTCAACATGAATAAAGTTTCGAATATAATTTGAAAAATATTTTTCAAAAATAAAATATTATTACATATCATTACATGAATCAGATGAATCAAAGTAAATTATTTCACATACAGAAAAAAATTATTTTGCGCGATATATATTAGGACAAAATAACCAGAACAATTTAAGTCAATATACTTTTTTGTTTTTTTTTTTTATCATTTTATTTCATTTCATATTAGCTTTTCTCAGTTTTAGAAATTTTTTTTTATTTTTTTTTATTAATAATTATTAAAATTTAAAATTTTATTTCTGAGAATTTTAAAAAATTGTTTGATAATTAAAAAATTATTTAATTAAAAAGATTAAAGTTTCTTTTACATAAATTAATTAAATAATTAATTAATAAATTAATTAAAAAGATTTAATGAAAAGTTATTATTAATTAATTAAAAAAATTTTAACTCTTAAGTCAATTTTCAAACAATTGTATAAATGATTGAGAAATATGCAAAAAACATACATATTTAAAATATGCAAATAACAATGCTTTTTTTTTATTTTTTTCTTTGCGCACAAAGAAAACAATTAACGAGAGATATAAAATATGATAAAAAAAGGATGGAACGAAACGCTATCACTTATAGAGATTATATCGTTGTTCATTCATATAACTTTGATTTCATCTGTGCATACATTTCTTTTCTTATATTTTATATCAATAACAATTCGTTAGCGCATAATGTTATCAATAAATTGATAAAATTTATATATAATATTAAAGTTAATTTTTAACATAAATTTTGAAAATAGAAAAGAACAAAAAATTTTTTGCAAATTTAAGATGTCAAACAATATATAATAATAATAATAATAATAACAATAATTTTAAAATACTATTTTTATTCAATTTATCGCAACCTTGAACTATTCACGATCACGACATCCAAAAGTGATATAGAAAACTTTGAATGTGAATCACTATTATTGTCACTCCTTCATTAAAGTTGCCAATTATCACATTTATATGCCGATAATTGTTTTCTTTTTAACAATTAAATTATGTTATACATTATTATATATATTATATCTTATATTATATCTTAAAATTCCTAAAAAAATTTCCTAAAAACAAAAATAAAAGAAAGAAAAAACAATTCGTATAGATTCGTATAGAAATATGAGAAATATATGAAAAAAAGTATGAGATAAAATGATTGCAAGAATTTAAAATCATTAGGAAAAGTTGTTTACAATATAAATAAAAAAATTATGAAATAGTTTCTCATTTTATTCGCATCAAGAGACATGAACGCATGAAGACCAGTCTGCGATACACATGATGCGATGGCAATCTACTTACTTAGTTAATCGTAGATAGACTTGTAACAATTACGCAGACGCGCTTCTTGGATATTATCGAGGCCAACGCGATTTTCCCTTCTTTCGATCCGTTCAATGACTTGATCATGATGCCGTTAACTTGATTCTACTTTTCGATTTGATACTGTTCGCTTAACCCAAGAAAACATTTCATTCTATGATTCAATATCTGTCCGAAGGGACGCGCTCGCATGCACCAATCTTGATTTGTGCGAAGGTCACGAAACAATCGCGCCGTGACGTGCCTTGCCGATTCATTGCTCTATTCTGAAATAAAACGAGAAACTACACTTTATCGAAATTTTTTATTGGATTGTCATATATCGAGAATTTATTGAAATATTTTTTATTTCGAAGAATCTGAACTTTGAAAAATTTTATAATACTATCATAATATATTTATCGGATAAATGAAAAACGATATTATAAACAAGTCAATTATTGTAGATAAAGATATTATTATAAATAATTGTAGAAATCAAAATTTTTTTATTCAATAAAAATAATTGAATAATTTTGATGCATCGATTACTATAAATAATAAGACACTTCTCTTTTTTCTTTTTTTAAACCTTTCTACTAATGATCACAGATTGAGTAAATTTTATTTTCAAATATGAAATCATGGAGTTACAATGAAGAAAAATAAAAACAAAGACAGAAGGGGAAAGGGAAGAGAGGGATTAATTCTAAGAATAATACAGTGACATTACATTCATTTCTTGATAATTTATACGAATTGAAAGTTGAATAATGTTATATCATCATCCCTATTCGTGAGTGAATGCTATATTAAGATCGAATTAGAACGACAGCAATTTTGTAATTGATTTTTTTTTTATTTATTTATTTTTTTTTATTTATTGTTGTAGCTGGACACATGGTTCGGCCGACCAAAAAAATCCGGGCGTGGAGGTGGGGTCAGAAGTGGTTTAGGAAACAATACTATACCACGACCTCATTCCGGTGATGATTTCAATGAGATTGAGCAACAACGATGTATTATTGAAAGAATGGATAAAGAGACAGTAAATGACAAATTTGAGGAAATGTTGGTAAGTTAAAATCTATCTTTCGATCCATGATATATGATTTAAAATAATTAATTTTTTTATCGAAATAGGCTAATATGAATTTAACCGAAGAAAAAAAAGAACCATTACGACAACAATCGGAAGCGAAAAAAAGAGAGATGTTGGTTTTGCATTATAAAGGTAGCATTCAAGAGAATAAATCAAAATTTGATAAACCTGCGGATTATATTCAGTATTTGGCACAACCTGATTTAAGTGTCAACAAAATCTACAATTGCATTGAATCATTAAGAATAGCATTGACAAACAATCCTTTAAGTTGGGTTCAGGAATTTGGTACGAAAGGATTGAAACAGGTTTTAGCGACGCTCAACGAGTGCTATCGAAAGTAAGTATTTTTCATAAAAAAGATTATTATATTATGTATCATAGCATTGGTATTTAATATTGTCGATTAAGAATTTCTAATATTCATATTATTCTATTGCAGTGCCTTCATATATTATAATAGGTAATCTTTGTAAAAATACTATTTGTTTTAATTTTATAGCAATTTAGAATATTTTGCATTTTTTTTTTTTCTCTCCTCTTAGCTTTTTATAATGATTTAGATGCACGTTAGTATATGATAACGTCTGATGTATAAATATATATATATATGAGAACACTATTAATATTATACATATACATATATATATGTGCGTTATATAGATAATTTATAAGCAAGATTCTGTAAATTTTATGTCAAAAAAATTTTCTTTATATGTTTTTTATATAAATCAACAGAATGTTAATATATTTGTAGAATATTTTTGTAGAATGAATATTTTTGTAGATTATACAATGGATAATATAAAAATTGATGTGTAAAAATTTTAAATTTGATTGAAATTTTATTATTAAGCCTTTATTTATTACATTATAAGCAATTTAATTTTATGTTTAAATTAAATGAAACTAGAAAAAGATGATGCGAAACAGCAGTTTCGGAGATAAAACTTTTTATTTTCGTTTTGTTTTATATAACGCAAATTTCAATTACTTATTATAACTTAAGTAACATTTTTGTATATATAAATTTTGTTTTAACTTTCAGAATTATTCCATAAATATATTAATGTCTTGCATATATATTTTAATGCTTCAATAATTGCCATTAAAGAACAAAATGTATAATGCCAATGTTTGTTCTTTAATTGCATGATAATCTATGTGATGTTCCATATAATACTACTGATCGATTAATCGAAAATCAAAAATCATATAAAATTTATTGAACACGATTTGAATTGAATAGTTCGAATAATCAATGGTTAAATATTCGATTTTTCTTTTCGAATAATTGAACAGTTCAATGAAAATATTTTTTTTTTTTTTTTTTTATTTTGTTTCCTGTAATTAGTTTCAATAAATTGATATTCTTTTGTGTTTTATAACAGTGACAATCGATATGAACGTATACAGTACGAATGCATTCGATGTTTGAAGGCTATTATGAATAATACTGTTGGTATAAAGGAGATGTTGGCTCATCAGGAAGCACTCACGATCGTAGCTAGATCATTGGAGCCGACAAAACCATCCGTTATGTCAGAAGCTGTAAAACTGCTTGGTGCAGTTTGCCTCATTTCAAGCGATAGTCATAAAAAAGTTTTGGATGCGATTACTATGAATGGAGAATTTAAGGGAAGAGAAAGATTTTTACCTATTGTGCAGGGTCTAATGAATAAGAAAAATGAAAATCTAAGAGTACGTTTTATAATCGCTCTATCATGTTTTTTTTCATTTTCATTTTTCAATTTTATTTCTACTTTATTTTTTTTTATTTTTTTCATTTTTCTCATTTCTCTTTCTTTTTTTTTTCTTTTCATTAATACTTACTATTAAAATGCAACTTATAATAACTAAACTAATAGTAACTTAACTAATAAATTGCAACTTGTTGATTGATAGGTGGAGTGCCTTCAACTTATCAATTCTATCATTTCTTCGGCCGAAGAATTAGATTTTAGATTGCATTTACGAAATGAAATCATGCGAGTCGGTTTAGCCGATATTTTAGAAACATTGGAAAAAAATGAATCTGAAGATTTAGCTAGACACTTGAAAATTTTCAATGATCACAAAGAGGAAGATTATGAAGAATTTGTACAAAGATTTGATCACGTACGATTGGAATTGGATGATGTAAATGATTGTTTTGAAGTAATTAAAAATATGGTAATGGAAACGTCTGCTGAACCATACTTTTTATCAATACTTCAACATCTTTTATTCGTCAGAGACGATGCTTTAGTCAGGTAGGAAAGAGCATAGTTTTTTGCATACTATTTATTTTCTTTTTTCTTTTTTTTTATTTTCTTCTTTCTTAATAGACCGGCCTATTATAAACTGATAGAAGAATGTGTATCACAAATTGTGTTGCACCGTTCAGGCTGTGATCCAGATTTTAGTGCAACTAAGCGCTTTCAAATTGATGTCCAACCATTGATTGATACATTGGTTGAAAAATCGCGAGTGGAAGAAGAAAGGCGATTAGTTGAAGTATTGCAAAAATTAGAAGAAGCTATAGCTAGTAAACAAGAAGCAGAAGCGAAACTTCAACATGCAGAAAATAAAATTAAAGAATTGGAGCAAGGAGGAATAAAATCAACTAACGGTAATGCGGTAAGTTTATCATGAAATTCTCATTTAAAGTTTCTATTTGATATAAATATAAATTTGCTTTTGACTTATAACTATTATCAACAATTATTAACTATAATTGTTTTGATTTGATAGAAAATTGGTTCAGTCCTATCGGGTTTGGCTGGAATTGGTAATCTTCCACCTCCACCACCTCCGCTTCCAAATGCGAGTGGATCAGCAATAATAATAGCACCGCCACCTCCGCCGCCACCACCTTTACCGGGTTCTGGTGGTCTGTGTCCGCCTCCACCACCACTTCCTGGATTAGGAGGACCACCACCACCACCTATGCCTGGTACACTAACAGGTCCTAAACCTCCACCAATGCCACAATCAGGTCTACCGCCAATGATGGCTGGGATTAATTCCGCCATTAATACGTCACAATCACTTCCATTAGGATTGAAGCCAAAAAAAAAATGGGAAGTCGATGCACCATTGAAAAGAGCAAATTGGAAAGCAGTAAATATTTATACAATAATCTTTTTTATTTATTTATTTATTTATTATTATTATTATTATTATTATTATTATTATTATTATTATTATT